TAGCAGGGTAGGGTCTAGTAGGGATTAGCAGGGTAGGGTCTAGTAGGATAGGGTCTAGTAGAGATTAGTAGGGTAGGGTCTAGTAGGATAGGGTCTAGTAAGGATTAGTAGGGTAGGGGCTACTAGGGTCTAATAGGGGTTATCAGGATCTATTAGGGACTACTAGGGGTTAGTAGGATCTAGTAGGGATTAGTGGGAATACAACAGGCTAGTAGAAACTGAGACGGACTGATAGGGACATACGGATACCAGGGTGTAGGCGTGAGGGTGACCTTGTGAGTTAATCTGTTATACTCTCAAAGGGCGCATTATCTCGATGGCGGGGAAGAGTGGCGCTATTAGTCATTGTAGTCTCTAATAGACTCTAGCAGTACCTGGTAAGTCATGAAAATCTTTTCTAAAAACTGATTGTAATTAAATATATATATGAAATATATTTATACATAACATACATATATCATACATACAATTTATGAAAATTTTGAATTACTTTGTAATTCATTTCCGGCATAACCTCTCAATAACTCTTGAAACTAATTTTTTTTCTAATCCATTTTACTTTTTATTTTAGAAACAATTTTATTTTCGAAAATAAAGATTTTCAATACTTCTGTTCTACGTCTGTAATAAGCATATAATTAGGTAAGAAATATTTGATATTTAAATTTATATTCTAATATATATATATCTAATATTCTTTATGTTGCTTTATCTAAAATCATAGAAAATATGAGTTTTAGTAGAAATAATTAGTATTATTTTTTATCAATACAAAATTAAATACCAGTCATTTTTGTAGTTAAAAATAATTGAAATGCAAAATAATAGTATATATTTTTGTCATTCCTAATAGCCATTTGGTTTTGTTTAATAGTGGATATTAAGAAAGTTTCTAAAATATCTTGTGAACATAGATTTGTACCTTCATATATATATAAATTCACCAGGTTTTTCTTTATCATATATGGAATGTCAATATGAATGACTATTAGTTTTGTTTAAATAAAATTATTACCCACAATCTCCAGATATAAATTTTTGCAATGCTTTTAGCTTTTATCTTTAACTATCTAAACAAATTTCGTTCAATAATATATTACTTTTATCACTTAAGAATGTATGGATAGATATGCCATTGTTCTGAGAATTCTTTTCTCTGATTACAAAAGATAATAAAAAGAACTAGATTATGAATATTATTCATTTATCTAGCTTCATTCTATAGACGAAATATGGATTATAAAAGATGTACACTATGTAAAATGCATGCAGAATCTTTTGATCACCTTTCTTATATTTAACTAATTATAAAAGAGTTTTTTAAAAAATTTAAATATTTCGAATCTATGATTTTTTCTAGAATATTATTCAATCTAACATGGGTGACGTAGGAACAGTACAACTTTCATCACATAATCAACATCAAACTGCATCAATGTCTAATGATCATTGGGTTCCTGTGACACATAATCGATTGTAAGTATTATATTTCTCACATTAACCAATGATTTTCAAAAAAAATTAATTAACTATTGGTTTTCGAAAGGAGTAAGCGCTTTAGAATTTTACTTGGTATCTCTGCAGTGATTGGTATAATTATATTCCTTCTCGCACTAACTTTACCCACACTTCTTATCAATGGCAAATCAACATCCTTTACAACTACCACAACTACTACAACCACAACTACAACAACCACAACCACCACAACCACTACAACCACAACCACAACCACAACCACTACAACCACAACCACAACCACAACCACAACCACAACCACTACAACCACAACCACAACCACTACAAGTACATCAACCTCTACAACCTCAACGTCCACAACTTCGACTTCAACAACAACATCCACTACATCAAAAACAACAACAACTTCGACAACATCAACCTCTACAACAACATCAACAACCTCAACTTCAACAACAACATCAACAACAACCTCCACTACATCAAAAACAACAACTTCAACTACAACAACAACAACAACATCAACAACAACATCAACAACAACAACATCAACAACAAGTTCGACTACATCAAAAACAACGACAACTTCGACTACATCAACATCAACATCAACATCAACAACAACATCGTCTACAACGACAACCGTAGCACCACGTGAGTAATATATAAAATGTTTCTTTAGTTGTCTTGATGTTAGTGATGATTTCATTTAACTCTGTCGAGATGTTTTAGTTCTTATTGGAATGTGTCGCCCATCGATATAAGTGACTTTAGAGAGTACGTTCTGTTTGGCTTAGAAACAGAACATGATTTTCTGACCGTCTCAGTTAGCGTGTGCAAAATGTTGGTCAGATGCGATCTTACCCGATTTTGTATGATGTTATTATAAGATTATTTCGTTTTAAAATTGTAGATCGTGACATGATAGATCTCAGCGGTTATTTTAGCTATTCATGATAACATCGTTAAGGACAATTATGATCATGGTCATAACTGAATGAGACTAGAAAGCAATCAGGTCCTCGTATTTCACCAATAAGGTTTCTGCCAGATGACAAAGGTTCGATGAATTTTTTACCAATTGTTGTAGAAGAATACACATGTTGGGTTCATGTGAGGATCGAGGGTATCAGAATGTATTTCGTTGCTTGCATTTATCAATGTGGTCGATAAAGATTATATTAGAGAAAGTGCAAAGGCACATACCGAAAGTCACACCTTTCTGCGTTATGTATCGAAAATTCAAGTAAAAGATTAACTTCTTTGGGGTTTGAAACTTATAGAGAATGCTTTAGATGTTACTTTAAAATTCATGAAAATTTGCTTATTTGCATAGTAAATAAAATATATACTTTTTACATTTATATGTGTCATCTAGTATGGTTTGCTACAAATCCTATGAGTAATACAAGAGAATATCATATTGCGTCTACATTAACAAATGGAAAAGTTCTAGTTGCAGGTGGATATAATGGTGCTGTTCTAAATAGTGCAGAATTATATAACCCATTAACAGGTACCTGGGCAACTATTAATGCGATGAGTGGTGTCCGAAAACTTCATACAGCGACCATATTAACAAACGGAAATGTATTAATTAGCGGTGGGAATGATGGTACTAACTTTTTAACTAGTGCTGAATTATTTAACTCATCATCAGGTACTTGGACAACTACAGGAAATATGAATAATGTACGAGGTGCTCACATAGCAGTCATATTAACAAATGGAAAAGTATTAGTTAGTGGTGGTGATAGTGGTAATGGTTTTTTAAATAGTGCTGAATTATATAATCCATTAACAAGTACTTGGACAACTGTTACTTCGATGAATTCTTTACGTGTTGTTCATGTCGCATCTGTCTTAGCAAATAATAATGTTTTTGTTGCTGGTGGATACAATGGTGTTTCTTTAGCCAGTGCTGAAATATATAACCCATCAGCAAATACTTGGACAAACACAGCTAGTATGAATTATGCCCGACAGTTGCCTACAATATCCGTATTATTAAATGGGAAAATATTAGTTGCAGGTGGAGATAATGGTGGTTCGTTAAAAGTTGCTGAATTATATGATCCATCATCAAGCACTTGGACAGTTACTGGTAGCATGAATTGTGCACGACTTGGTCACGCAGCAACTGTATTATCCAATGGAAATGTATTAGTTACGGGTGGATGCAATGGTAATAGTTTTGCTGAATTATATAATCCATCAACGGGAAATTGGACAATCGCAGGAAATATGACTACTACACGTATTTATCATACAGCATCTACATTAATAAATGGAACTGTGTTAATTGCTGGTGGTATTTCTAACAGCGGTACTTATTTAAATAGTGCAGAATTATATTCAACATTATAAATATGACAATACTTTCTATTGTAGTTTGCAACATATATATTTCTTTTTTTCAAATTAAAACTATTTATTCATATATGCTTTAATAAAACTATCATTAATAATATCCTAAAGTTGATCAATAAAGTAAATGAATTCAGTTATATAATAAAAAGAGTTTGAATCAATAGTTCTCAAGTCTTGTCTCTTAAAAATTGATTTTGATGACGCAAATTTGTAAGATGTATGTATACCTTGCAACAATGAGCAATAGTAAAATAGTTATGGATTTAATTGGAAAAAAATTAGAGCTGACGTAGGTATGAATAAACTAGATGAATGCGCATTGGTAAGTGTGAAAACGAAATGTATATACAAACTCATAACCACATCCATCTTCTTCACTTTTACGACAATCAGTGTTTCGTTAAGCTGAATTGTTTTTAGACTTGAGGAAGGTTATAAATATGGATTTGGTTGAGGAGTAGTGTAGATGTCCTTTAAGAGAACATATACACCCGGCGCGATCACATCCAAAATAAATGAAAGCAAAGATTTCTTTATAATTGAAATGGTAGTAATTTATTCAACGCTTATTTAATATTTTTCTTGCAAACCTTGTGACAACCATTGAGTTTTTCTCAACTACGCAAAATGTATAATGTATAAGTGTGTGGGTGTGAGTGGGTGTGGGTGTGGGTGTGAGTATTCTATTCTTTCAACGCCCACACCCATGCCCTGGCGAGCAAGTGTCCTAAACCCGGATGAGAGTTCAAGCGAAATAGAATACCCACACCCAGCTTATAAATAATATTTTCAGAGTTGAAAATCACACTGACATAAAATTTTATTAAGTAAGCAGCTGAAAAATTGATATGAGAGCTTTTTTTCAGAAACAGCACTGTCAAAACTTGTGTGATTTTGTCTTAATATCTTCATCAATTGTTCAAAACCAAGGCTGAAAATGAAGATATGTGAATATGAACGTGGGTGAAGGTGAAGAATAAAGCCTCGTCTTCATCTCAAGTTTGTCTTTCATCATCCGATAGTCTATATAAAAGATGAAGAATGTTCTGTTTGATGAACATTTAGGAATCAATTGTCAAATCGAAGGAAATAATATTTCGAGAAATTAGAAAAGTTCTGAAATAATGAAGAAACATTGATTAATGATGAATGAGTCGTCGCCATCGTCTGAATGATTCTTGAAATGTTTTTCTATACAATGCTGAAGGAAGGACAAAAACAATAAAGATAAGCATTGATGGAGTAAATGAAATAAAATAACCAAAAATAAATAATAATCGATGGTTAGATGGATTGACACATTCAGATAACATTGACATAATCAGACGGGGTAATGACAGAATTAGAAGAATAATTGGACTAATTAATAATTGTTTGTGTTCATTAAATTGATTATAAACATGTTCTCTTAGAGTTCGTTTTGTCCGAGCTGTTGATCGTTGTCGGGCTGATCCAAATATAATGAATAAAGCAGAACAAAGATTGATAATACATGGAGCGACAAGATGAAAAAATAGGATGATTGTATTATATTGTTGAACAAAAGGAGAATAGCGAGTTAAACACCATCTATCGGTATCTACTTTGTTTGTCTCTGTCTTCATTTCATATAATTCTCGATGTATAGGTTCGTGAATGATTGAACCCATGATACAGAATGGTAAAATAAGAATTATCCATCGAGCAATCCGTTGACTGTTTTTTTTATTGAAGTTAACTCCTCGGAAAACGAGAATCGCTCTTTCAATAGCTACACAAGCATTGAGCCAAGCATCCAAATATAGACAAAGCTTGAGAAGAGGTTCGATCGATACACAACCTCCTCGAACAACAGAAGGGCGAATCGATAGATCCATTTGAGTGAGAACAACAAACCAAAACTTCACTGTAAACATGCTGAGTGTAAGAAAAGAAGTAATTGATGATGCCAAGAGATAGATACCACATCCAACTTGTCGTAAATCTTTATTTTGAAATGTTATTAGAGACAAAATACTATTGATTAAACCTCCAACAAGCATAATCATTGTCGAACCAGCATTAATTTTTACCAATATTGTTTGATCAGACAATGTCATATTCGGTCGAATTTCGTCACGCAAAATATCATCGAGAGTGACACCAATACTTTTTTTGTAGAACTGACATTTTTGACCGATAAAACAACTGGTCAGAATTTGAGCTAAAGAGAGAAAGGGATGAGATCAATCTTTTCAATTTAATAAAACCACGTCGGCGTAGATTTGTGAGGAATAATAGCCTATCAACGTCATTTGTCTATACATGGTATGTTGTGTTGAGATTACATTTCTACATTTCTTTTTCTATCTGATTGTAAGAAAGCTATTGGATTTCAAAAGGAGGAATTCGGATGTAATACTATTTTTGGATAATAAATCTATCGAATTCGACGATCTACTTGACATTCTGAGATCTTTTATTATTCAACAATGAAGATCGAGTTCAGTGGTGGTGTGTTGTAATTCTCTGTTAATGATTTACAAATAATACAAAATACTTACTGTAAGGATCAAGAGTAATATTATTTGGACCAGATGTCAGAATGGAAAAGTTTCCTGCTATATTTGGAGAAGATGTTGTCACCACTAATATGTATGTAGTGCCAGTATGAAGATAAGCGATGAACTTGAAATCTGAATGACTACATGCTCGATAGTCCTGTGGGAGTCGATTCTCGAACGGATTTATTGGATTAAAATCATCTTTGTAGATATAACCAAATGTATCCATATTGATATCATCAAACATATTCATACTACTATCACCAAATGTATCCATATTGCTATCACTAGTCAGAGCATAGTATCCCGTTTCCACTACATTCATTCGTATAGTTTGATAGTAATAATTCGATTTTCGACAATCTCGAGAATATGTTTGACTACTCGTAGTCAACTCTGATGAATAGTTCGATTCTACAGTTGATGAATATGGTATTTCGATGACTGATGGAGAACCTATGTGATGAATACAAAAATAACAGTCCGAGTTCGCGTGATAGATCTTGATTGATTGAGAGGAAGATGAATCTTCAAGACGTAAGAAAGCAAATTGAGCATCATAAGTCGTCTCTTATACATCTTGAGTATCGAAAGGCATGTCGAAGCTCAGCCTAGCTTTCTGAAGAGACAACTCTTTATAATATCATTCTCAATGAAATAATTAAATCGTAAATGGAGAGTGAGAATAGAATCTATAAACATTTTTCTGTACTCGAACTCTCGAAAATTTATATGTCACGAATGAGTTCGGAACAATTTCTTTATTTCGAAAATGGATAATGTCTTCACGTTTTAGATAAGAAAAATTTTTTAATTATAGACTAATTATCCTACTACTGTAATTAGTTCAAAATTTAAAGTACGTAAAGATGTCTTTTAGATTCATCAAAAGACCCAAATTCAAGAGAAATTCTTCGGATGCTATTTATAAAATTCTGTTATGTTATGGATTTAATGTAGCTGTTTATTTAAAACTTTCTTCTTATGATACAAATGTCATCTTACAAAACAAGTTTTTATTTATGGAATGCCAAACGCAACTAAATACTCATGCTAACGTTGACAGATATTCATTTAAGAGTTATAGTGCAAACACTTACTAATATTCTTGAGATCAACTTTATTTGGACCGGATACAAAGATCGAAAATGCACCTGTTATATTAGAATCCCGCGTTGTCACAACTAATATATATGTGATACTGGTTTTAAGAGCAATTTTGAATGCCAACGGGGATGAATAGTAGCTGTGCTCCTTGTCTAAGAGATGGTTTTCATCTGGATTGGATGGATTGAAATAATCTTCGTAAATAGAACCGTATGTGCCCATATTGCTTTTGCTGAAGAAAATGTAAAGACCACTTGTCACAACATTCACTTGTATCGCTTCATAGTAAGAGCTTGCACCTGAACAACTACGTAAATACGTTGAACTGTTCGTTGTCAGTGTTGATGTATAAACTGTTTGAACAGCTGATGAAGCATTCACTAACAAAAACAAACGATTCAGTTTTGTATCATATGAAAACAAGTGTAAACAATTCGAAATATTACTTTCTCTTCAGATACATTTACCGAAAGTGACTGGAAATGTTATAAATCTTAATCTTCATCGTATAGAAATATCTGCATATTATTTTTTAGATTAAGTTTATCTATATTTTTTAACGGTTATGAATATTTACCGCTGAATGTCCATTGAAATACTATAAATACTCACAAATACGACGGAAATCGATATAATTGGGGCCCGATACTTGAATTGAAACGTTTCCTGTAATATTTGGAGAAGATGTTGTTATAACAACAACATGTATTATGTTGGTTTGAAGAAGAGCTGTGAGTCGAAACTGGCCTGCATTATTACTATCTCCATCATAAATGAGCCTGTTTTCTAACCAGTTAAATACATTAAAATTATTTGTATATATGTAACCGTACGTGGCTTTCATCTCGCTGTTGATTAAAAAAGTATAATATCCAGTTATAGTGACGCTAATTTGTATCGCTTCATAATATGAACGTAACTCTGAACATTCTTGGAAATAAGATGAACTGTTCGTTGTCAGTGCTAATGAATACACTGATTTTATAACTGATGAATTACCTATTGGATGGAAAATAAATGAATAAATATTTGTATTTAGAAGAAAGAAACAGATATGGTCGTACATATTCTTAGTTTGATTTTCACTCTATGTTTACTAGTACCAATTTAGTTGATGATTATAGAATGATGTTTTTAATAAAGAAATGGAAAAAAACATGAAATAAAATATTTACTTAGTACCCATGCAATAAGTATCAATGTTAACCCTCTAAATCCGCATGTCCTTTTCATGAGACGTTGTAATAATTAGAATAGAAAAAATATCAAAAAAATTCATATATAAAAACTTCATATCGTTCCGAACTAAGAGAGTCTAATAGGTCATAGACTTTCAAACTGATGATTTCTTCATTGTCATGTTTATCCTCAAACTATTCCTTTTTATAATTACAATGTAGAGCATTAGTTTTTTCATCAATATCCCTAAACATAACAACAAACTATCTGATGAAACCATTTCATCAATTTTGAATCAATATACGAGTGTAGTATGATACCATCATGAAAATGTTCTTTAGAAGTCACATTCAATTTTTTCAGATCGAAATATTCTGACAGTCAATTAAGTGTTAAAGTATTACAGAAGCGACTATTTTATTATTTTCTATTCTAATAAAGTGTGTCTTGAATAATCAAATAACGATGGAACCTTTTTCTTCTTCTCGTTGTTAGCATTTTTCTATAAAGACACTGATCTACATGTAGAGGTGTAAGCCAGTAGGATCATCGGCGGCGCGGCTGTGATATTCTAAAGTTGCCAGCTGGCGGCGGCTCAGGCGCACGGCTTACACCTCTATCTACATGTAAAGCTCACATCTTTGTGATAAACCTGGTTTTATTCTCGTTCGCCAATCAAAATCATGACCGCAAATATACCATAATCGTTTTCTCATTTGCAAAGTAAAGATGACATTCTGAGTCTCTATGATTGTGCCACGAGCTATGGTTAACAATCAAGTATAGGGTCATTTCTCTCTAACAGATATTTTTTATCTACCAATTTGAAAGCACATTGAACAACTATGCAAAAAAGACTTTTTGTTGATTTCAAAGCAATTTGTGAAACTTTTTTCTGTTGTGAAAAATAAATTTCGACGCAAAATGTTTTTCCTTTACATCGATATTTACTTCGAAGTGTTTTTAGTTCGATAAAGAAAGTTCAACAAAAAGAGCTGCATTCTTCTCTGACTTTTTTGCTCAATACATACACATTCTAACTTCCATTTGTATCATGAAATTAAGATGACGATAATGTTCAAGATTGACTTTTGTAGAGAATTATGAATAAGCAAGGTTTTCATTTTATAACAATAGTATATTAGGATAAAACTTGAAATTTGAATTTAACTATTCAATAACCCAGTACGAAATCCATCAGGAGTTTCATTTTTATCTTCATCTCCTATGATAGTTTTTCTTTTTAATTCTCTGAATAAATATTAATCGGAATGTTATTATAGACTGTACTCGATCATTCTAAACTTACCACATGATTCTTCGACATATTGAAATTTTTGAATTCGATTATTAAATGTATCAGGAACAAACATGTTTCCAGAACGATCGAAACTCAAACTATATGGGAGAGCCAACTGATTGGATTGTGAACCAACTTCATTACATCCAACTAAGCATCGAAAACCATTCAAGCTTGAACCAACAATGCGACCACTGTCTTGCTCCACAATGAATAAATATTTGTCAGCATCTAATATAATTCCAGTCGGATGGTTAAGTGTAATTGTTGGATTTCGTGATGTACTTCCAGCTACTGTGATGCCATTCGATTCTCCCGACTGAAATAACTGAACTCGATTATTCGAAGAATCTGCCACATATAAATCCAAATTCACCTCGACAAAAATTCCAACAGGAGTATTGAGTTGATTCGAGGCTGATCCTCCAATACCTGTTCCAGCAGCAACACGATTTGAAGTCATTACAGAATTATTTAATGATCTTTTCACTACTTGATCATGAACAGACATTGAACAATAAAGAGTATCGTTAATATCAACAAACAAACCAAAACATGATGAGTTAACATTCATCACTGTGACAAAAGTCTTTGATTCTACGATCCATTTCTGTACCCCTCTATTCTGGCCACCATTATTAATATAAATATCCCCATTTAATGTCACGAAGAGAGATCGAGGATCTGTAAAATTACCTTGAATGATGTTTGTTAGATTGTCACTCTCTTTATCCCACATTAGAACTGTGCTATTTTCTCGATTAGCGGCATAGATTGTATTGTTTATGCTCACAAAAATGGTGTTAGGAATTTCACCAAGAATCGATTCATTAGCAAAAGTAATTCCATTGGAATTCCAAGCGGCAGTTGCGCAAAACTTCGGTTGATTGAATGAAAGAGCTAAAAACAAGAAAAATAGAATATTAGAGGAGAACTGTAAACGAAATGAAAATGTTAATTTATATATTTGTAGAAGAGAAATAAAATTTCTTGAAAGAAATTTTTGATGAAAAAGACATTTAGAAATGTTTGTTAAGATTGATTTTAGGAATGATTTATATTAGTTTTTATATGAAATATAAACTGTGGTATTGTTAAAATATTTTTGCTTAAATATCGATGTCGATCATCTTAGATTAAAAATTTTCTTCTTACTTTTTGTTGAAAAATCTTGTGGAAGATTTAAATAAATTATATCAAAGAAAATAGTGGGAGAAAAGAAATTATTTATCTAAAGAAAAATAATCAACAGAGAAGAAGAAATTTTTATCAATTAAATTTCTTTCTTTGCAATTTTGAACGCTTCATTTGTCTTTCTTTACTGAATTTTAATTATTAACTGTTTTTTGTGAAACACGATCTAAAAGAGAGTGTTGAAGTGTTTAAGGGCAAAAATGTGCACCCACTCCCCCCGCCCCCCCCTTCCCCCCACCACAGACGTGATCGACAAAAATCACAGACGTGACCGACCGAACATCAAAGGCGGCGAACGACATAGTATTATAGGCTGTCAGAAATGTGACCGACATATGTTCTTTTGACCTGATCACAGACGTGACCGACGCATGTTCTTTTAACCTCGTTACAGACAGAACGAATAGGGTACCATATGCCTGTCAGGGCCATATCAGAGCCATAAAAGGGACATCAGCGAAAGAACACAATAGAAAGACAAAATGAGGGAAAAGATGATCTTCGCGAGACTCGAATCCACACCTTCTGCTATCCGGGCAGATGTCCTGAGACAATTAGACTAGAACAACCAACTTAATCTCTAGTTTAGGATTTAGTGATTCATCAGACCTTAACAAGGTCTTCATATAGGTAACTAACGTAGCATCACGAACCGTGAATGACAGATGTTCTCGTGACTTTGCCAAGACTATAACTGTCATAGATATGAACATTGCGTTGGAGAATAAAATCAAACTATTGAACTCATACTATTTAGGAAAGGTAGATATGTGAGTATTTTTTTATATTAATCGATTTTCCTATTAAATTTTGTATCAACTCTTGAAATAATAATCAAATGACTTCAATATATGAAAATTATTTCATTCTGATATTTCTATACCTTTATGCTACAGGATAAGAGAAGAGTCGCTTCATAATGATACAATTAAACTATCCTCTTGAAGGTAGAATCAGAGTTAGATCGTGTTTCACATTTTTAATCCCGTTAGGGATTGCGCTAACAGCTTTTTTAAATAATTCTGCAGATATGTTATTGTAGGTCTTTTTTCTGAAATCTTTATTTAAACGTTTACACAAGGTTTCTCAAACTTTTTTCTGATAAACATTTCAAGTTAATTTAAAGAAGAAATCAAAGGGAAATGATAAACATCTTAATGTTATCTCAGTTGTCTATATTATTGGGATTATAACTCGATCTATCTTAGTAAATTTCATTAAGAAATAAAAAAATAATGTTACTACACATCATATTGATACTGAATGGAAAGGAAAAGAAAAATGAGAAAAAATACGATTTATTATGATCCGCAAAAAGTATTCTTATCGCTGTATAGACATTCTTCATGCACATTCTCGTTCGAAGACTTTTTATCTCAAGAAATTTTCAAAAATTCATCAAAGATCACAATATTTCGTCTTTGTTCAATATAAATAAAACAAATTTTTCTTTGTAATCATGATAGCATTTTATAAATTCCAATGTTTTTCCTATGAAATAAAGAACAAAATAAGAGAATGTTTATTTTCATGTGAAAAGAATAAGTAATTCTCTTGAAATGAAATCAATCATTAACGAAACATCTCCAAGAAAAAGTAAATTTAAATATTTATAAAACTAACAAATCTTTTATCAATCAGAAAACCTTTTTCTCATTAAACTTTAAAAATGTTAAATTTTCATTTTAGAACAATTTCGAATAGATTTGATTGAAAATTAGTTTTTCTTATTGATTATTTTAAATAAATAAATTTGATTAAACAAAGAAATATTTTTATTCAAAATCAGATCAAGAGATTTGATTTATTTTATCAAATAAACAACTTTTGTGTTTTATAGAAAATACTCTTTGTTTATAATTATATAAATAATAATAACATATATCACATTATCGATTACCTTCAACTATTCAGTACTACTCTCTGCAATTAAATATTATGACAACTATCAAAAGAACAAATCATCAGTCAAACATTTCTTTATGAGAAAAATCATTTTTTGTAATATTTCATATTGAAGATTTATCTCTTTCAAAGATAAACAATGATAATAAGTTCATTTTACACAAAAAAGAAGAAAAATTAGTTGTTAGAAATGTAATATTTTATTTCTCCTATTTTTCTTGAATGAAACATAGCGAAATATGAAATATGAACTGAAATCATAGAATAATTTATATCAAAGCTATATCGACAAAGATTTAAAGAGATTTTCTTTCGATAAAAACTGTTTCATTTAATGAAATATTCTTTCAGATACATAAAATGAAGCATGAAAGCCCTTTCTACGACTCCATCAAAAACAGAACTTTTTCTTTCTCTGTTCTTTATTTTCAACAAAAACGCCAAGATTGTTTGTCCTATACAACTGATACATAGCTCTGTCTAATCTGAACATTTCATTTCCCCCTAGACACATTGTTTTAATTAATCTTTCTCGACCATTTTGGTTTTCTTTTGTTTTTTCTATTGAAATATCTTCATTAACTTCTATCACTTATCTATTCACATCGCTTCATTTCATTCAACTTTTCTTCAACTTACCAAAAGAATCTTTCATCAGGAAAAATTTTTGAATTCGAGAATTTCCTGAATCAGTAACAAACATGTTTCCAGAACAACCAAAACTAAAACTAATTGGTAATATTAATTGATTGGATTGTGACCCCCCTCCATAACATCCAACTAAACATCGAAAACCATTCAAGCCTGAACCAACAATGCGATGATTGCTAAAATCCGCAATAAATAAATATTTGTCAGCATCTAATATAATTCCAGTCGGATGGTTAAGTGTAATTGTTGGATTTCGTGATGTACTTCCAGCTACTGTGATGCCATTCGATTCTCCCGACTGAAATAACTGAACTCGATCATTTCCATAATCTGCCACATATAAATCCAAATTCATATCGACAAAAATTCCAACAGGAGTATTGAGTTGATTTGAGGATGATCCTCCAATACCTGTTCCAGCAGCAACACGATTTGAAGTCATTACAAATTCATTCAACGATCTTTTCACTACTTGATGATGATTATACATTGAACAATAAAGAGTATCGTTAATATCAACAAACAAACCCCAACACGATAAGTTGACATTCATCACTGTAACAAAGATATATGTATCTGCACTCCATCTCTGTACTCGACCATTCTTCTCACCATCATCAATATAAATATCACCATTTGATGTCACGAAAAGAGAGCTGGGTCGTGTAAAATTACCGTGTATGATCTTTGTTGGATTAACACTCTCTTCATTCCACACCACAATGGTGTTATTTTCTTTATTGGCGACATAGATTGTGTTGTTTGTGTTCACAAAAATGGCGTAAGGAAATTGACCAACAATCGATCCATCAGCAATTGTAATTCCATTAGAATCCCAAATGGGTGCTAGAGGAAACTTTGGTTGATTTAATGAAAGAGCTAAAACGAGAAAAATAGAAAGAATATTAGAGAAGAACTTAAAACGAAACGAAATTGTTAATTTATGTTTTCTCTTGGAAAAATTCATTGAGATTAATTTTGAAAACATTTCTATGATTGTTGTTCTATTTTCTCGGATGATTTGTAAATAAGAATTAAAAGACGGCTGAATCCATCGGAACAGGTCAACTTTATTTATTGATTTTTTTGTTATAAAAGAAAAATAATTATGTTCAATCTTTGAAAAGATATGATTATCATTGAAGACAAAGAAATAATCAAATGATTTTTTTTATTTGTTTAATAAAAATGAATTAGGAGGAGAAAAAAAGAATTGTTTAAAATGAAAATAAGTTTATTGAAATTGATTGAGATCTAAATAAAATGCCTTTGAAATTTACAATCAATTTTCATTTTCATATGAAAAACATTGTGAATTTATTGATGTTAAATCATTTCAACTGAATCTTATATATGAAAGAGAGGAGAAAATTCTCTTGGTAATGCTTAACTGAATAATTACCCGAAGAAATGATTTAAGAAAAATATTTTGAGATAAAAATCAAATGAAAATATTCTTTTTTTTCTTATCGATAGTATATTTTTATTTCTTTTGAAATTCTCATCAGATTAAACAAAACCAATATGAAATCGATCTGAATGAAACTTATGCTGAACAAAATCAATTTCCTTTAACTTTTTTGTCAAATAACAATTAAATTTAATCAAACTTATTCTCTTATTATTTCAAATTGAATATTTTGAGAAAAACTCCAGTAATTATCGATTTCTTTTAAACATGAGAAACACTTCTATATATCTGATCTCTGATTCAAATGTTGTCTTACTTGGGAGCATTCTTTTATGATAGTCTACTGATAAAAATGATAGTGTCAATCATGAATTTACACTGGCAAAGTAGTTCTACATGATCATATGATTTGTACTCTTTATTTCTAGTAGACATATTCATTTCTATAGCTGAAAAGTTAATATTTTCTCATAAGTAATCCTGTCTCGAAAGTGTCGATGAAGAATATTCATCATTTTATTGAACAATCAAATTCATTTCTACGAGATAATTTCATATGTTCCAAAAAAAGGTTCTTTCCTTTTGTATAGTTGAAAAGTTTTAAATCCTTTTTATTTTCTGAAAAATAAAAAATATCAATACAGAATTGAATGATCAACTGACTTTATACCTCTCACTTCCATTTTTATACATACAATTCTCTGAATACATCAAACACAATATAATTATTTTATCATAGTCATATTATTTTTTAATATAATGGAGATGGTGATCTGTATGGGATAAATGGATCTACATCTTATCTCAAACCAAAACAGTCAAATAATTTCACAAAACTTTGTTTTCATCTACATTAACTTGTTCATCTTTTCTTTTTTTGATTTTGATTTTATCTGGAAAAGTCAATTAATTGACTTTTTCATATGTTATAATGTGATATGATAAAACAAATCTCTTTCTTTTCTATTATGTCTAATTCTTATCTCAAAATGTACAAATAAATTTGATATCGAGAGAAGATTCCAGTAGTGTTCAGGTTTTCAATCATTTTAAAACTATGAATCGATACAAACTCAGAAAGCTACAATAGTATCAATCAGTATTCCAACTTATACTTTTAAACTTAAACTACACTCATCCTTCAAACCACAAAAAAGTCTCGCATAGCCGCAGCATGCGATCGGTACCATCACTTTTGAATATATGATAGAAAAATCTGTCACATTCTATAATCTATTATTTATTTCACTCTCTTTTGTTCAACTAAGACTCTAACGAAAAGTGTCATTTTTGTGCAATAGCTGATCCTCAGTATATGATAAGTAAAAGTATTTACCTGATGTTTCATCGTTGAGAATGAACAAAAGAATAATGATAAATATGTAGATATTCCACATCATTTAACAAGATTTGTTTTGATAAATTAGTTAACTGATAAAATAATCTTCTTCTTTGTCTTCGATGAAAAGAAAATGACACTGACTGCAGATTTACTCTCTAGTTATATATCTCTCTCTTTTTTTCTCACTCATTTCTTCTGGTATAAGAGAAAGAGAAAAAATAGTGTTCTAGAGAAGGTGTCGTTTGTCGTAGGTAAGATAACAAATTGATTTGAGATCGGAGTAATGAATAAAATTGATGACTTAATTCTATATTTTTCATTGAATTTCATTCTTTTTGAAATTCGAAAACACAGGATGGAATTTAAATTCGACATGACTCTTTTCTTTTTTTTTTGATTTTATATAAAAATCTTTGATTTTAATAAAGATGAACGTGATAAATAGAGAAAGGAGAGAATTGATCAAAATCTACTTTAATCATCAGACGTGCTTTAACTGAAAATAAGATATCAACTATCATCGTCAATAGATGATAGACGTCAATGAATAAGTCATGATTAGTTTGATGTCTTTTTTTATTTGACTCTATTAAATAATCTGCTTTGTCAGAACTCACTTTTTATTACATTCTTTGTTTCTTTATGCTCAATAAGCATCTATGAGAAAAGATTCCTTCTTTAGATATTTTGATTTTTTTTAGAATAAAAAGCCATCAGATATATAAAAGTAGAACCGTTCATCGCGATACGATGTATTTTTCTAACAGACATGAAAACGATGCATTAATTCAACTTGAAATTCAATATATAAAAAAGCAAAACTCTAAAAATGGATATTTCTTGCAATCCATCCGACAATGACGGGTTGTCAGTTACAATGAACAGCTCTCATTCAAATTGATGGGTGAAGACGTGGATGAAAGATGACTATACTTTCCACATCTTTGCTCATGGGTGCATACTCACACTGTTCATTATATACAAAACATTGTTAACTAACTTGAAAACTATTTATCTTATAAAATAATTGAATATGAGCAAAAGATAGGTGTGGGTGTGTGTGCTAGGTGAATACAGTATCCACATCCACACCCTTAATAGCAAAAGGAAACAGTAACAAAACAAAATTCATCTATATCATCACCGATTTTTCATATTTCTTCAAGAATGAAAACCGTGCATTTCTATGTTACAGAAATAAAACATATGATCAAATTTAAAGATTTATT